TTGCCCAGCTACAGCAAATGAGTCACAACTCAATACAAAAATCCTGTGGCTTAAATTATAACAAATAATCAAGGGAAAACAACAAATACGAGCCTTAAGCTTTAAGATCCTCCCAAGTCATCACCTTCGCAGAGGCACACCAGTTCACCTGAAAGTGGTTTCCCTCGTAGGGTGAGCATAAAGCCCAGTAAAAATAAACTTAATGACATGCTTGAAGCTTAACAATGTTATAAGATGAATGCACATGAAATGTCATAGTAAAACATACATTTTCTCTCTTTGAAACAATGTAATGCGAGATTTCCAAAACATCTTTCCAAGTCAATGATATTCTTTCAAAACAATCAAGTGGTAAATATAATGAATAAATCTCCAGGGCTAGTGTTCATAATAGTAACTATACAAGTCACTATACCATTTTTACCGGTACTAACCGGAAGACTCGGCACCTATTGCTTGGGTTTAAGTCTTACACCAAGGACACACAAGCCAACTTAATTCTGCTTTAACACCCCTTTACAACTTCACCATTTTATTTACCATTTCAATAATACAATACATGTGTCTCAAAACAATAATACGCATTTTGAAACATGAAATCTCCAGTTACAAATCTATGATATGCACAATGTGATGTATGATTTGTAAGTACTTCCATTTCCCTAATCTACATACGGTTTCTACAACAATCAATATAACCCTCCACCGGTTGCCAAAAACTATTATCTCTAATTAAAAGACAACACAATAATAATATTCCAAAATCATAACCAAATCAGAATCCCAATGATTTATACACAATCTCATGATTCCCAAAACAATATTCATACTCCTCACAAGTCTTGTGAATTTCAACTGAAAATATATAATTTTCCCAAAATCGCTCGTATTGTTTCCAACAAAACCACCATTTCAAATGAGTAAATAATACTCAGTATTTTTCCAATTATTCAAAACATTTCTCAACCAATCCTCATTTCAACCAAAATCCCACAACCATTTCAATTTCTTATTTTTCCATCAAAACATCCAAAACCCTAGTTTTTGATTACCTTTTGGAAAACCCTTTAAACCCTAATTTTCTTCAGAAACTCATAACATAATGACCACTAGGTTACCAATCCCAAACCAAAACCGAAAACAAGTCCTTTTTCCCAAATTTATGCATCAATATATATAACCAAGACTATTTTTTAAAAGCCCATAACTAACAAAATAGCATATAACGAAGCTAAACAACATACCCACCATTAAAAAATCCCCACCTCCACTCCAGAAGACGAGAAAGCCCAAAAGTCAACGTCGACGAAAACACAAACTTTTTAGATTAGAATAAAGCTCTCAATGAACTCTATCTTTTCTCCAAAGGGCAAAGGTGTAGAGATCAAAGGGTGATGGTGTATTTGAGGTTTAAAGGTGAGTTTTAGAGAGACAGAGAGAGTACATCTAGGTTTTTGAAATGTTTAAAGAGAGAGAGAGAAATAAAAAAGTGATTCAAAAAGCGACTTTTACAAACTGATATACACGCAGACCGCTCGAGCGACTAAAACACCGCTCGAGTGACTAGACACAATAAGTGAGACCGCTCGAGCAAACAAGTTACTGCTTGAGCGCACAATGACACCCTCCCAGAAATTTTATAGACAGAGACTAACCGCTCGAGCCAAGACTGCTCGAGCGCAAGAAACACCACTCGAGTGAAGAACACCACACTCCCAGTATTTTTGCAGACTTGCAAAATATACCAGAAGGTCTCAAAGACCGCTCGAGCACAAGAAAGTTTGCTCGAGCAAACAAGCCAAATTCTAGACAGTAACTTTTTAAAAAAAATTAACACCGCACCTGTTCTGAACGCAATAACGACACTTCAACAACCAAACTCAACAAGGAATAAGATGAATAAGGATATAAATAACTAATCAAGACAAGAAATCCAGGATCCAAAACAATAAACAGGTCGGGTCTAAACCAGAATCGTTATAGGATTGAATGGGTGTCATTTAAAAGGAATCTATGGTGGACAATTATTATGTGAACTTGGAAGAGATGGGAGTAACAACAACTACTTTCCAATTTTATAGGCAACTGTTGAGGCAAAGAGTAAAGATTCCTGGATGTGGTTTTTAAGGAAACTCATGGATGATATTGGTAGTCTAATGACATGGGATGGGTCTTCATTTCTAATAGACAGAAGGGGTTGGTACCTGCATTTGATGAGGTAATGCCAAATATGGAACATAGGTTTTGTATGAGGCATATTTACTCAAATTTCAGAGCAAAGTTCAAAGGGATTGAATTGAGGGACCTATTGTGGAAGGCAGTTGCAGCTAGGATTGTGAGGAAATTTGAATTTCACATGAACAAGTTCAAGGGAATGGATCCGAAAGAGAAAGCATACAAGTGGCTAAGGAAGATAGATCCTATTTTATGGACTAGGTCCCATTTCAACCCAAGAAGTAAGTGTGATACATTGGTCAACAACATGTGTGAGTCATTCAATAACAATATCTTGGAAGCTAGGGACAAACCCATAATTAGTATACTTGAATGGATTAGGAGGAGAGTTATGCACAAGATCCAAATCAAGAAGGAAGGGATGCAAAAATAAACTGGTGAAATTTCTCCCAATATTTTGAAAGATTTGGAAGCACTCAAGGTGCAAGCCAGGAATTGTTTTGCAACCTAGTGTGGTGAAAGAAAATTTGAAGTTGATTGTGGTGATACCACACATATTATTGATTTAGAGGAAAGGAAATGCAGGTGTAGGATGTGGGATTTGATTGGAATACCTTGCAAAGATACAATCAGCTCCACAAATGTTCAAAGAGAGAAGCTTGGGGACTATATGCACCCTTATTACAGTAAGGACCATTATCTTGTAGCCTATAATTCAATAATTCACCTTGTTCCAAGCCAACATGATTGGGTTGAAACAGAATTGCCAGTAGTGGCTCCTCCATTCTACAAAAAACAACCTGGAAGACCACCAAAAATGAGAAAGAATGGGATAGATGAGCCAAAAAACCCTATCAGAGTGTTAAGGCAGAATAGATTCATTGTTTGTGCTAGATGCCTTTAGAAAGGCCACAACCAGAGGTCTTGTAAGGGTTCGGTCCATCCCAAGTCCAAGCTTTTTAAGCAAAAAAGAGGTAAGCAGCAGCAACAACCACTTTCAGTAGCAGCAACAACAGCATCAGCAACAGTAACAGCTTCAGCATCTCAAGTAAGCTTTACCTCCAATTTCATTTAATTTTACAAGACTTTTATAACAAATACTTAGTATATATATAAATCATTGCAACCCAGAAGGAAGCTCCCTAGTAAGAGGGCCAACACATCCTCATCTCAAGTAAGATATGTCCACTTTGCACTTTCATTTGCTTTTAAACCCTAAATTCACAATATATAATTGCATACTTGTTACATCATTGTAGCCCACTAGAGTTGGCCACACATTTGAAGAATTTCCAAGTATGAAAGGCAACACATCATCATCTCAGGTAAGCTCTCTCTCCTTTGGAAGTTCATTTGGGTTTTGACTTAATTGACAGCATATAATTGCTTACTTGAACTATTATCATTACAGCCAACTAGAGTTCAATACACTTCTCATGAATTTGATAACTCATCATCTCAAGTATACTCAAATTTCATTTGCAAGTTCATTTTCTTTTTTAAGTAACTCACAACATTTGATTGCATACTTGTTAAATCATTGCAGCCCACTGGCACTAGAGTTGCCCAAAATTCTCCACATTTCCTAACTTAGATGGCAACACATCTTCATCTCAGATGAACACATGCACACTTCTCTCTCTCTCTCTCTCTCTCTCTCTCTCTCTCTCTCTCTCTCTCTCTCTCTCTCTTTCACAGTTATGCAACTTCGTTTTGTTTTATACTATTCCACAATTTGTAATTGCATACTTGTTAAATCATTTCAGCCCATTAGAGGCACCCACAATTCACCACATTTTCCAATTGGGATGGACAACACTTCTTCATCTTAAGTAAGCTCTCTCTCTCTCTTTCTCTCTCTCTCTCTCTCTCTCTCTCTCTCGCTCTCTTTCTCTTCAATGCAACTTCATTTGCTTTTACAGTAATTTACAAAATGTAATTTCATACTTGTGTGTGTTGTAGCCCGCTAGTTATGGTAGAGGAAGAAGTAGGCCAATTGGAGGTGGCAGGGTTATGTCCAGATCTGCATTGGGAGGTAGTTTCATACAAGAGGTAGAAGAAAAGGTGGGTGTGCAAAAGCTACAACTCAAAGGCAAACTGACAAAGGCAAAGAGAAAGCATGATAGGCTAGGCATCTTTTTTGTGTTTTGAGTCAGCTTTTGTTGTGTTTTGAGTACTTTTTAGCTTGTTAAATCATTAAGTGGGTTTGTACCAAATCGTTTTTGAATTTGCTACCGGCTAATAAACAATCGTATCTTAGTTTAGTGTGTTTTGAGAAGTACAATGGGTAGTACACAATGGTTGACTGGTTTGTTTACTTATTATTTTTCATGAAGCACTATGTTTGCTTTATTATTTGTATTAAAGAATTGTGGTTTGTATTAAACTAATGTGAGTTGAATTATACAATTATGAGTTGATAAGGACCAATTGTTTGTGTTGTATGTTGTCCACAGGTTTACTTGTTCAAATTGTATTGTGTACCTTATTGTTTGTTGTTTGTTTTGTATACCTTTATTAATCCACAGGTTTACTTGCTAAAATTATTTTGTATGAAGCAAATGAAGCATGCTTCAAATAGGGGAACAACATGGTGTTGCACAATTATTTTGTGTTACCTTTGTACATGAGTGCTGCACAATGGGAACCAACATGCTTCTATTCATTAATGTTCTAAAAGTTGGAAGATGTAATCAAGAATTTTATTGCATTTTTTTAGTTCATCAGATGCTTACATTTCATGACCCAAAACATTCTTTCATTACAATTGCTTCACAAACCATTTTACACCTTATTGGTCAATATAGCAAAAAGAAACACTTTCTTCATTCTTCATTTTCCATATTCATTGTATTTTTCATCTCTCGAACTCTATGGCCCAATAACAACCCATTTTTCTTGCCTCCAAGCAGCTTTAACCAAAACATTGTTATGATAAAGAAAAAAACCCATGTCCCAAACAGAGCTTTACAAAACATTTTCTCCCTTCTACGACTTGTTGCTAGTTCCTTCTCCAACCGGTTCATCTTTGCAACCATCTTTGGCAACACCTCCTTTCCATGTTGGCACATGGGTGGATCAACCCATTCAAAGTAGCCACAAGTTACATCAACCTACAACAAAAAATATGAATCCACAAATTCCCTTTCTAACAAAATTCAATTTTTTTCCCCAAAATAATAAATTTTAAGTTTTGCTTACCCCATATCTTGCACAACCATAAAACCTTTTATCCATGTTTCCAGATGCCATTAAAGTCTTCATAAGGGATCTCTCTCCACAATAAGATAGTCTTAGAGCATTTGTCCTTGAGTGTCCACTTTCAGAAGAAAATGAAGAAGCCATCCAACAAAAATCTTCAAAACCTTTAACTTTGGGAAAATTTGGGCAATTTAGGCAACTTTCAAAAAATCTAGGCAAATTTGGGTTTAGGGTTCTATGTTGTTTGGGTCTTGATCTATATATATATATCGCAATAAGGGTGTTTTGGTCATTTGTAATATGTTTTTGGGTGGAAAAAACTACTCCACTCACAGTTCCATCCGAAATTGTACTCTGGCATGAAGTGCAGGGGGTTTAAGTGTTACAAATGAAACTATAGGGGGGCTCTGTGTTTTTTAGGCAAACCACAGGGGGTTAAAGTGTAATTTACCCAAATAAATAATATGCCGAAGCATCATACAATAGAACCTCTTTAAATTCAACTAAGAAAAAACTCACCAGCCATATTCCATAACCTTTTTGCAATTCAACAGTTAAATCCCATCCATGAATCAATCACCGCATGAAACCCCAAAAATCAATTAGCAATAGTCATGATTTAAATCGAATCAAGGGTTTGTGTGTGTATGTGTGTGTGTGTGTGTGTGTCTGTGAGAGTGTGTGTCTGCGAGAGAGAGAGGAATAATGTACACTTGTAATTGTAAATCAAGTATCGTGAATCCGTGTTTTCTGAGTCTTCCTTATACTTTGATTACGTTGATTGATAGTAGTACCAGCATTAAATTGATATTTCCTTCAAGGTTGATTATATTTTGGAGAAGCAAAGGCCTTGAGTAGAGTGGATGGCGGTGGCTAGGCGATTCTCTATGTCACAACCCAAACCCGGTACCCAAAGGCTCGGTGTCGTAACAAGATAAAAATAAAATAATTCGGATAATTTTGCAGTTGCAACGCAAGCGGATAAATTAAATAAAATAATTGGATACCAACTGTTAATTTAAAAGGAAACATAACATAGTTATTTAAACTTCATTATATTACAAGAGTCCGATAATAAAAAGATAGAAATGTAAAAAAAACACAGAACAACACATCGATTTATTTTCCATCTTGATCCCGCTAAACCTCGTCACCTGAAAGGGGTAACAGCTATAAGCACATAGCAGAGTGAGAAATATTATACTGTGAGTGTAGGGGCACAAAATAGCTATGGATATTTATTTAAGCTAAAACATTAACATAATTTGAGTTGAAGACTCAATTTAATTAAGTGCCAGAAACTGAAATAATTAACTATAACCACGGGTACATAACAGAACAGAACAAGGGTCGCTAAGTGACAATCACTACAGGGGTCAATGGATCCATGACAAACAGGGGGCCACAAAGTGCTCAAACAGGGGCCAATGGTTATTTAAGTCCCCCAAGGCGTGGGACTCCCGTGGTAGTACTTACACAACATAATTGCTTATAAGGTCATAATCAAATATTCTTTAGAATATAAAGAAACATATCCATGGGTTTCCTTTTAGGCAAATAGGGTTCAGAAAATAATCCACGTAACTGAAACCTTTATAAAACATAACTTTTATTAATAAACATAACTTGTATAAAATAGATTTTGGTAAGTCAAAACATAAGTAAAATACATTTTGGAGACTCAAGGTATAATATAACTCACATTAAATTAATTCCTTTATTCTTCCTTTCCACCACTCAAGATTCTCACCCGTGCCGTCCTCTTCTCTACTCTCTATTTATTTATTTTTTTCCGTTGCCTTAACATACCAATCTTCTCTATTTATGGGAAAGAAATTCTTGGGTAATAAGCTACGGAGAGTTCCGTAAATTGACGCGTGTAAGTCTTCGGTCCACCCTTATCTCTTTATTTATTAACTTGTTTGATTTTTTTTTTTTCTTTGACCATTGACTTATTTTGACCATTTTACTAATTTAAAAGTTATTACCTTCTTTGGTAATTCGTGATGACTCCTAAAATTATGTATGGCTATAAGTGAGGTTCATGTCTAAAAACCTCACTTCCCAACTATAAAACCTCACTTACCACTTACTAAAATATTTAATGTGTGGTGTTTCACAACGTATTTCCTTAACAATAAAATTCCCAATTTCCTAAATTATGCATTTATTTATTATTATTTTTTTTTTCTGAGTTCTATTTATTGTAATGTTAAATTTAAAACATTCGGGTGTCACATTTCTCCCTTCCTTAAAAGAAGTTTGTCCCCAAACTTGGCGTGCCTTGGTTTTCGAAGAGGTGTGGGTATTTGGCTCGCATTTGGCTTTTAGTTTCCCACGTTGCTTCTTCAACACGATAGTTTCTCCATAAGACCTTTGCTAGGGGTATAGTCTTATTTCGAAGGATTTGATCACGACGATCGAAAATCTATATAGGTTGCTCTTCGTAAGAGAGATCTTCTTGAACTTCTAGGTTCTCATGATCAAAAACATGCTCTGGATCTCAAAGATATCGACGAAGCATCGAAACGTGAAACACATTATGGATATTGGATAGTTCGGGTGGAAGCGCAAGACGATATGCCACAGGACCAATCCTCTCAAGTATCTCGAATAGGCCAATGTATCGTGGTCTTAACTTTTCTCGCTTTCCCAATCGGATAACCCCTCTTGTCGGTGAGATCTTAAGGAACACATGATCTCCTATTTGAAATTCTAACTCTCGTCTCCGTGTATCTGCATAGCTTTTCTGGCAGCTCTGGGCAGTGCGAATTCGTTGTTGGATGAGTTGAATTTTATCGCTCGTTATTTGCACGATCTCGGGGCCCAATAATTTTCTGTCTCCGACTTCCGTCCAATACAGAGGTGATCGATATCTCCTTCCATACAGTGCCTCGTACGGTGCCATTCTAATACTTGCATGGTAGCTATTATTATACGCGAATTCCACTAAAGATAGATGATCATCCCAGTTAGCTTTGAGGTCTAGTACACACAAACGTAACATATCTTCCAAGTCCTTTCAGATTGCTCATCAGTTTGCGGGTGATAAGCCGTGCTAAACCTTAGAGTGGTTCCTAAAACTTCTTGTAATTTGTTCCAGAAGTGAGACACGAAGCGGGGGTCTCTATCGGATACGATTGAAACTGGGGTGTCATGCAAGCGAACGATTTCCTTAATGTAGAGAGTAGCGAACTTAGAGAGGGAGTACATGATTCTGATTGGTAGAAAATGCACCGACTTCGTCAACCGATCTACGATAACCCATATTGCATCATTCTTTGAGATTGATTGCGGTAGCCCGACCACGAAATCCATAGTAATATGCTCCCATTTCCATTCGGGAATAGGGAGTGGCTGCAACATACTTGCAGGTCTCTGATGCTCTGCTTTAACTTGTTGACAACGCAGACATTTGGAGACATGGTTTGCTATGTCTTTCTTCATTCTTGTCCACCAGAAATGCTCCGGCAGATCGTGATACATCTTTGTATTTCCAAGATGGATCGCAACCCTCGAGCTATGAGCTTCTACCAATATCTTTTTCTTGAGTTCTGGAAGGTCAGGTACGCAAATTTGATTTTGAAATTTAGCATCCCATTGCTTATTGTAAAGTCAGGATTAGGCGTGTTTCCTTGCTCCTCGTACTTTTTCTTCAAAAGTTTATCTTCACATTGGCGGGCTCTAATTTCTTCAATCAACTCGGGTTCCACGATTATGTTGGCGAGCAACCCATGGATCTTGTGGGGAACGAGGGTACATGCGCCTGCTACTACGTTAGCCTTGCCGGGATGAAGATGGATCTCTATATCGTAGTCCTTCATAAATTCTAGCCATCGTCGTTGCCTCATATTCAATTCCTTCTGTGTAAACAGATATTTGAGACTTTTGTGATTAGTGTAGACCTCGCAGGCTACTCCGTAGAGATAATGACGCCAGATTTTAAGGGCGAAGATCACCGCAGCCAATTCTAGATCATGAGTTGGATAGTTCCTTTCGTGATTCTTTAGTTGGCGGGAGGCGTAGGCAATGACCTTCCCGTTTTGCATAAGAACGCAACCCAAACCATTGTATGAGGCGTCGCTATAAATTACAAACCTTTCTATTTCTGTGGGGAGTGCTAATATTGGAGCCGTTACGAGTCTGTCCTTCAATTCTTGGAAGCAACGTTCCTGCTTGTCTGTCCATTCAAAGAGTGTGTTCTTTTGAGTTAGCTGGGTCAAGGGTGAAGCTATCTTCGAAAAATCTTGCACAAAGCGCCGGTAATAGCCGACTAGGCCCAAGAAGCTTCGAATCTCTGATACGTTAGTAGGTCGTGGCCAATCCACGATTGCTGTAACCTTCTGGGGATCAACTGAAATGCCATCTTTGTTAATGACGTGACCGAGGAAGTGTACACTAGTGATCCAGAATTCGCATTTGTTCAACTTCGCATAAAGTTTATGATCACGTAATGTCTGTAGAACTTTTCGCAAGTGGTATTCATGATCTTCTGGCGTTTTGGAGTAATGAGAATGTCGTCAATGAAGACAATGACGAACTCGTCAAGATAGGGTTTGAACACTCGATACATGAGATCCATAAAGGCCGCTGGAGCATTGGTGATGCCAAATGGCATGACGAGGAACTCGTAGTGCCCGTAACGGGTTCTGAAGGTAGTCTTTTCGATGCTTTCTGATTAAGGCCGAAATGTACATCATTGAGGCTGTTAATTAGAATCTCTTAACTTCACTTGCTGGTCAAACTGTATATTTTATGTGTGTTGAGTGTCAATCAGGTTGTACATCATCGGAGCATAAAATGAGCAAAAAGACAGAATTTGGGCAGAGTTGACTTTCCCGCACGTGCGTTGACTTTTTCCGCACGTGCGTTGACTTTTTCTGGGAAAGTCAAACCGACGTTTTAAACCTGTTTGGACGAGATTGGAAGTATAAAAAGATAAGAAAAAGGCTGGATTAGGGTTCTGAAATTGTTTTGACCTAAAGAGGGAGGCTAGGGTTTGAAAAAGATGAAGAAACAAAAAGCTTGAAGGATGTCTCTCATGGTGGTTCCTTCTCCTTCTACCTCCTTCCACTCCTCCATGAGTGGCTAGTCTTCTTTTCTAGGGTTTTGATGAAACCCTAGCCATGTAATTATGTAGTTTT